ATGTATATATATGTACATATATATATGAATAATTTTTTATAAACAATATATCAACAAAATCTGAACTTTAAACTCTATTCACTGATTTCATCAGTTACTTAGGGTTACAGGAAAATTGTCCTTTTCGAAGAAGGATAAACGCCTCCCAGATAACTTCAACTATCGCTCGAGGGAACGGCATTGTTTTGTCAAGAACAATGCTATCTCAACAACCTGAATTGATGGTCGATCACATAAGCGAACGTTCATCATGTTGTTCCCCGCCATAATGGCCTCTTTTTTACATCTGAAAATCGAATGCCTAAAGTAGTCGTTCAATAATATCGAAAAGGCTTATAAAATTGAATGAACAAGCAAAGAAGAGTTGATCGGGTATCAGTTGGTTAATTAATTACAGCTAAACATACTGAACATAAAAATTCATATGTTATCACTGTGCACAAATATATTGTACACATCATTGCGACAACTTACATAGAAGCAATGTACATGTATATGTATATGCTAATTGATTTTTTTTGCTATTATTATTATCAATATCATTATTACTACTAGTATTATCATTACATTGCTATTGTTGAATTAGGCAATGAATTCGAAAAATACTATAAGAAAGCAGTGAACAAATTGTCAGCAGCCGAATTTCAATACCAGAGAAAATACATCTCTGTACTGTTTCCTGCTGTCATGTTTCACGTATCTAGTTATTCATCGTGTGCACAGCTGTCATCAAATTATGCAGTGAAATTGAATTTAGGTTTCAACCGAATTTGTAACTGATTAGATCTACAGCTTATCGACAGAATTTATTGGACCCCTTATGAGTCCCTCTCCTTAGAAATCATTGGGCAATATGGAAGAGTAGCCCAAAACCTATTTGCTCGCCAAAATAATATTCGAAGTTAGAATTTCATGAAGACACATGATTTCCAACGTTATTATCGCTATCAGTGTGGATAGAAGATTGCCAAGGAAGAATGTGATATTAGTGATGTTGATGATAACAGAGAGGCATAAACTCATAATGAGTTAGTTGGATTTGCTGACTAAATAACTAAAGTTGTCAATAAATGATAGGTGGAGAAATGAATAACCTGCAACTATTCGTGTTTGATATACGGACAGACGGGATGGGATGGCTTTGAAGAGACAGTCACAGAAGATGCATGGTTGTGTATGTAGGAATATTGCTCGTTTATGTCAAACCATAAAAAATCTTATCAAAAACATAAAAACATCGGTCTCGAGAGGAGGAATGAGCAAAAGAAATGGATTGAAAGAGATAGAGCAAGAAAATGATTACTCGGAAACGATACCAGATTTGTTCATTTATTAAGTCATCACGTCACCTTCATTACCTCAATCTTTGCTCCATCTTCCCTCGTTTGTCCGTGACGATATAATCTAAGACTTCATGATGACTCATATAGTCGTCATTCATTACTCACCTCGCTTCTACTTGATGCCCTTCCATTCGAGTATCTGTGTTTAATCTTAAACTAAGAAGGAGAAATATAGATGGGACATAAAATCATCAAAGAAGCTTCAATTATAGAAAATTTCATAATCAATGAGATGATGCTATTGGTGTTGATTGATAGTAATAAAAACAACTAGCAAGAACAATAATCGCTCTAATATGCCAGTTACAGTACACAAAAACATCAATGAGTTTTTAATTGCTTTGATCTTTATTTTCATGAACCGTTGTTCTATCAGCGTATTCGACGAATAAAAACTCATTCGAATTCAGCCGGAAAACGTGAATTTTGCTCGTTATTTTTGATCGTTATGAGCGCGAGATGACGCAATCACTCATTCAACTTCAAATCTCATTCGATATTCAAGTTCTACAGCAATTATGATCATTTTAATTGATGTTGCATATATTTATACGATAGATATTTCAGACCGTATCACAGAACGTCCTCAACAACACGCAAATATTAAATATCTGGCACATATAAGGGTTTCTTGAACAGATCATATATATTAATGACCAGCAAAACATCGATCGTTTTTTATTTTAGCAGCAATTTTCTCGATAATATCACACTGTATTACTTGCTGGTTCATTCACTCGCGCTAGAATCTTCAGAAATCTTGGTAATCTGAGGAGTTGATTATCAAACGATCGTTATTATTTTTATGTTTATCAGTATCAGTATAATTGTTAGTACCATGATTATAGTTGTTAGTGTTAACAATAATAATAATAATAATAATAATAATAATAATAATAATAATATCATTATTATTATTATCATTACTGCAAGTATCATTATCACCGTTATCATCACTATCGTCGCCAACTACCATCGCTGAGTTATAAATTCAGCGAAAAGCAATCGAATCATTAACTGATGTCATCAGTTGCTGTTTCAGAATTGAATCAAATTTTAGTGCTGATGTCATAATGAAGGTTACTAGATAGATTTAAATAAACATTTCTTTTCGATGCAGCTCATTTTAATGATCAGTCGTTAAAGGTCGATGCTTTCTCGAATCGTTTTCAAATTTTATTTCAGCACAACACTTTGCATTGAGTTTTGTTTTAGTTCTTCATGGAAGAAACAATCAATTTCTTGCAATCATTAATATGTAATGAAATATTTCTAAGATTCTGCAACACCGGTTTTCGAAGACGAAATCAAATGAAACCATGCCGTATTTAATCAAAATGCAATAAAATAGAATGAAATTTGACACAAAACAAACCCATCTCTCCACCTTTCATTGAATTCGATTTTACCGAATCCTCAACTTATACTTTCATCATCATCATCATTGTCATTATCATTAGTACTGTCATTATTATCGTCGTCGTTATGAGTACTTCATTTGTTTGATACGAAATCGCATTTATGATTTTTTTACATTGGTATTTATTTCCTCATTTATGGGTGCATGGTCCATTCGTTTATTTGAGTTGATAGCATCACATCATTTTAGCGAACTAGACGCCTTCAGATTTCAACTTCACCTAAACATCACTATTGCTATCATTGCTAGTACCATTTGTATCATTATCAGCATCATTCTTATAATCTTTACTACTACCAACCAAATTATTATCACAACCACAATATTTTTATTCTTTTTCAATTGTGAACACAAGCCAAAAAATTATTCTCTGACATTTTTTGATTTTCTTCACGATATGTTTGTTTCGCTCACTTTTGAAAGCCAAAACGTTTCCATCGTCAACCTTTCCTATATCTACTAGTGACATAATACATCTTTTTGAACTCAGTATTTTTAATAATAATAATAATGCCATTTATTATTGCTATTACTATTATTATTACCGTTATGATTATTAACACTAATATTGCATGTGTCAAATACAAAATGAGATAAATACAAACTTTTCTCGCTTTCAAAATACTAACTATCACGTCTCATATTTGACGATGTACTTTCAGCGTAATGTAGTGCATTTCATTCTATTACTTCATTCCAGTACTTTCAACGGGAAAATTTCTCAACTACATCCTGTAAAATATTTATTCTCTTAATCATTATATTCATCCATTTGGGTTACATAGTCGTGAAACTATCTTTATTATCATCTTCATTCTCATTATTACGGTCATTATTCGTATCACTGCTATCATTGACATCATTATCTTTACCATTATTATTATTATTATTATTATTTGTTATTATTATTTGTTATCATTATTATTATTATTATTATTATTATTATTATTATTATCGCTGTTATTATCAAAAATGACTCTTCCATACAAATTCAATGGAATGAATTCAAATGAAATCGAAGTGAATCAGCGAAATAAAAAAGAGAACTCAAAGAATAAATATTTGAATATAATTTCATCATAACAATCAGTTGCATCGTTTCATTTCTATTTCAATTCAGAATATGAACACATTAACAACATATTTTTAAACGATCATTTGCACGTTTTCAACAGTTCGCAATACTTAACATCATGTTCACTTACGCATCGCATTCATCATCATATTCTCTCTTCTTGAAGCAATTAGATTTCAGTTTTTCTATCGAATACACCAGCAAACAGGCATCCAAACACTCAGTCGATCAAACCAACAATCATTCACGAAATCATTCAGTCAGTCAATCAATCAACCTATTACCTAAACAGTCCCGATCTTCCGCATCTCATTTTCGCTAACTATTAATGGAAGAGTTCACTTCAGATTTCCGAACACGCACTTAATTCCATCCATTATTCTACTACAATCTTTGTCATTCACCAATCATATTTCTCGAAATATCTCTTACTATTCAATTCGAAAAACTTTTGTTTCAATATTCACAACGAACAACGAATAACTGCTTAGTAATCCACAAATACGTAATATCTAATTGCGCACAATTACGAACATATCTCTTCAGTATAATCAACAGCGATTTCGACATAACTTATCCATTTTGAAGGAATACTCTCAAAATGATTGGAATATTGAATGCTGGCAGTGACGAAGTGGTGTTTTCTAGTCCAACGAGATCGAACCTATTCAAGGATAAGGTATGTACGACGTGTGCATGTACCTTAGGCAGGTAAATGCTATGAGTCAATCTAGTCGTGTTCGCAAGATGACTATGCACGTAAAGCTAGTGTTCGGCTGGCAAACGGGAAGTAAGGCGCTCGGGTTTGTCCTTGCGAGGACAAGTTTGAAAAATCATTCATGGTTCAATGCATTTACAGTCAGACAAGTCTATTGGGTAACTCAAAAAAATTTTTAATTTTTCGAAGTTTCCAAGAAACTTTTCTTTGTAAAATTAAATGATGCAAGTTCGAGGATGATATAACAATAAATTAGTGAGCAGTAACGAGTGACAACTGATTCATTTGATATCACTATTTGTGTTATCATTTCCAATGAAGTATCGTTAACATAATTAAAAGTATTTTCTTGCAATGATAATACTAATATTATTAGCAACAATAATAACAACAAAAATAATGATAATGGTAGCAATTAAAACAAATCGAATGAATTGCAGTTAAGACGATGTAAGTCCGTAAACTACTTACCAGACGGACGTTTTTACACAGATGTGCATCCACCGACCAATCTTTCTGCGCTAACCATGTGGGAAGAGCTCATTCAACGAGGCGTTAACGCAGCAAAAATTGACGAGGCGTTAAAGGAAGGTGGTGGGTATACAAATATGTTTGTTTATTATTCAACTTCAGTCATAGTCAACGCCTAGAAACGTCAACTCTTAATCCAATTCGAAATTTTGATTCAAAATTCTGAACTGGATTTAAGCTAACAAGCTTAGACTGGAACAAGAATTTCAGGCTGGTGCTTTGCCCAAGCCTTACACTGCTCAAGATGTGGCGGTCAGCGTTAGGCTTAGGCCCTAGAATCTTCTAACACTACTATATGCAGGTTTGGACTTAAAACATATGATTCTTTTATCATTATAAAACTATTTTAGAAGTGGAAGAGGCAGCTGAAAAAGACCAACTTCCAGCCGTGATCACTGAGGATGAAGAGGAAGGAAAAGAGATCAATGAAGACGTTCACTTCGGAAATTGTGACGACGATGACGACAAGGAAGACAGTGATAAGACAGCGGATGAAACTGAATTTGCGAAATTGCAGAAATTATTCAAGCAACATTATAATTTCCATTTTTGGCATCATCATAATACTAACACAAACACCAATAATATTGCTCCTCAGCATGTGTTTAGACGAAGAAGCGGTTCTATATAAATTTATTCTTATTGTCAACTCTTTTATAACTCATTTTTACTGTTTATTAGATATCATTGCTATTAACGTTATTCTTGAATTGTTATTATCCTTGTCAATATAAATCCGTCATTACAGTGGTAAATCCGTGAACTGTAATATGAACGCTTCATAACTTATACTAATTACACTTGTGATTCTTCAGTAATTACTTCAAACTATCTGCCACTGCACATTTGTTTTTTTATTTGAGCTTAGCTTGAGCCCTTCTTCTCTAAGAGCTAATGAATAAGCAGCATGGCAGAATGAATAAATAATCCACATGCTGTCTTTGTGATGGCTAGGTCAACGTTCCAGATCAGATTATTTCATGAAAAAGATTCAACGATTTCAGGCACAGTTAGTTGTATGTGTGTGAAATGGAAAGAAGGATGTCAAATAAGACGGAAATAATGCCTTACTATTACTTAAAATAGAGCGGCGAATACTCATACTCACGTACCATCATAAGCATAATTTAAATCGTGATTGCTCACTACATTTATGCCTATATCGTCAATTACATATTTTTTCTACGTTGCCAAACTAACAAGTACAGCAAAACTTTTCTTGTGCTTAACGAAGCAAATTTAAAGTGAAACCGAATGCGTTATTCGCTTGCTTGCGCTTTGCATGGCGTGCTCAATGACGTCCATTTGAAGTTTTCAGAATAATTCAGTTCAAAACAAGAGCCTCCTGCTTTTCATCTGCTCAACCTTTTGTTCCAATAATTCAAAAAATTATTTACTTACCGGTCCATTCAAACACTTGCACTTTCAAGAAAAGATTTTATCACTCACATTATCATCATCATGATCATTAACATCATCTCTATCATTATATGCAACAAAAACATCATTCTGTATTTGATTACTTCGGAATGTTCTGTATAGTGAAATTGAAGTTAACAAATTGAAATATTTAAAAAAACTAATACTGAATTCTTCAATGTCGTTGATACTGATCTTTCAAAAATCGCATAACTACCAAATATGAACAATTTTGTTTACGATGAACTACGAGTAACAAATTTATGAGTGGAAGCATTTTTATCGCTTCATCAAATCGCTCGAGACCTGATTTTATCTCATCCTCAACTCAGCCTCCTCAAACAACCATCATGATTCACTAACTTTTATAATCACTATTATTATCATCACTATTATCATTATTATTATTATTATTATCATTATTATTATTATTATTTATTATTATTGTTATTATTATTATTATTATTATTATTATTATTATTATTATTATTATTATTATTATTATTATTATTATTATTATTATTATTA